TAATTATTTGAACAATTTTCTTGTCATTCGTATTAATATGCGTAGAAGTTAATGGATTTTAAGGATTCTGATCCAACAGTAATCTAAAGATCACACACGTCGGCCATTCCGGCCTATGCTATGCAATCCTCTTTGATTCCTCCTACCACTTGTGATGCTCTGGACAAACTTAATCGAGCTTTCCTGTGGGGTAGTACCGAGGAAAAGAGAAAGACTTCACTGGTAGCTTGGGAGACGACTTGCAAGACGAAGGCGAGAGGAGGACTGGGATTAAGGCATGCGAGGCCACAAAATCATTCTCTCCTGATGAAGTTAGGATGGAGGATGGTTAAAAACCGTGATACTTTTTGGGTTAAAGTGGTCCGGGATAAGTATAGATGCGGGCATGACCTTATCCCAAGGATTGATATGGAACGTCCTAGATCAAATGTATGGAAGGGCATCAAACAGACTTGGAACACCCTGAAGGACGGTCTTTAAGTCAGCTCTGATAATACCAATGCGCAATGGAAGTGGGAGAGAAGTGGTCAGTTTACTACTAAGTCTGTGTATGATCTATTAACTAAAGCTGAAGTGGAGGAGGATCCTCTCTGGCATCGAATCTGGAAACTACCTGTGCCCCACCGTTGCCAAACCCTCGTCTGGTTGGCTTCTCGCCGGAGCCTCCTCACGAACGCCATGCGCAGACGGCGAGGATTAAGCGACGATGATAGTTGCCCCGTGTGCCAGCGGGGGGTTGAGGATATGAGCCACGTGTTTCGTGACTGTCCAGAAACCCGTCTCCTTTGGACATCTATATTGCCTTCCTCAGCATGGAGACGCTCTTGTACTATGAATTTTGCTGCGTGGCTTCAGTGGAACATCACTTATAAGCCAGTGGACTTGGAAAATTGGAGCGCACTTTTTGCAGTCTGCTGGTGGATATGGAGGCGCCACAACTTAATTATATGTCTTTGAGAACAAAAAGACTTCTAATGATACGATCATTGCTAATGTAAAAGCTGTGGTTAGACAAATTCAGGAAGCTCGCCGAATGTTGAAGGGTACGAATATTCCGGGGGGGAGACATGTCTCAGGTAATACCATGTGGTCCCCTCCTAACAATGGTTGGGTAAAAGTCAATACCGATGGAGCTTTTTCGTTACCTCGGCAAGCAACCGCGTGTGGGGGTTTGCTTAGAAATTCTGAAGGGAGATTCTTGAAAGGATTTATACACCGGTTGTATGATGGCGATGCATTGAGTGCCGAGCTTTGGGCTTGCCTTCATGGCTTGAAAATGGCATGGGATGAAGGGCATAGAAAAGTCATTCTGGAGACGGATGCAACAGGGGCGATTGATCTCTTGACCACTGAACCAAATGAACATCATGCGGACTACGCCGTTAGTAGAGAGGTGCACGCATTACTGAACAGGGATTGAGAGGTCAGAGTCGATTTTGTGCACAGATCCGGCAACAAAGCAGCGGACTACCTCGCCAAACAAGGACTCGCGGCAGCCCATGGTTTTTGTTTTGTTATTGAGGCTCCCCCTGAGCTTGTTACGATTTTGAATAACGACTACGCTGCAGGCATACAGACGAATAGGATGTAGTTAGGTTCTTGTTTTTCATCAAAAAAAGATCACACACTCCAAAAACAAAAAATTTTAGATGAAAGAATCAAATTAAAATAGCTTTAATAACATAATTACTTTCCGTTGCCTCTGACATGATCATGACCATTCCTATGTTACATCGATTACTGTAAACAATCCTTAAAAAAAAAAGAGCTGATATACCTAATGACAGGTCAAATAAAAGCAAAAAAAAAAAAAATATTTTGTTAGAAAGAAGAGAGAGAGAAAAAATATTAAAGATAAATATTATATGTACTAAGGATGATCATACGGCGTGTTAGTTCCCCATCTAAGCTCGGAAGACAAATGCCTAACCCTGCTTCAAAAAAATGACCAAAATAAATATTAGGTATTTTTGGGCAACACCACTTGTCAGGTAAGGTTAGGGGGGTGTTTGGATATAACCAAACCATGATTTGGAGAATAGCTTCTGGAGAATAGATTCTAGAGAGAATAGATTTTTTGAAGAATAGATTTTGTGAAAAAGTGATTCTGAGAAGTGAGAGTGTTTGGATAGTTGTTACCAGAAGCACTTTTTACATGTACAAATTACTAAAAAAAAAGGCATAAATTAATATGATAATTACAGAAAAAATATATTTATGATATATTTTAATTTGAAGGAATAAATTGTTAATAATATATTTTTTATTAACATAATTAATAATACATAAGATAATATAATTAATAAATAATTAATATGTATATATATTTATAAGATATAAGATTAAATATATTTATAAAAAAATATGTTTATAAAAAAAACAACAAGACACATATCCTATAGGCTCTCACACTCTCCCTTTTTTTTCCAAAAGCAAAATTTTTGCTTTTCCCAAAACCATGGTTTTGGTTTTTTTTAAGAGTGTTTGGGTAATTTTTTCCCAAACCATGGTTTGGGTTGGAACCCAAACACCCCCTAGGTATCGGACATGATATGCTACCTTATCCGTTTGACCTTGTTCAGAAAATATAAATAATTTTATTTAAAAAATATAGTGTGTATACATATATCTTGATACACTAGTATGTATATATATTACCTCTGGTTCTTAATGAAAGACCCTATTTGACTTTTATTTCAGTACTAAATATAAAACCCCAATCCACTTTGTCTCTCATATTTATATTTTTTTTTCAAAGTAACCATTTTAATAATAAGAGTTCTAGTCAATACACTTGATTAACAAAGATATTTTAGGAAAGACAATGTCTATTTATGACAAATAACTAACTCAACTTATTTTCTTAATCTCTTCAAATTAATCAACTAGCTTTTATAATTAGGACCAGAGATAGTATTATTATGTTATTATAGTTTTTTAGTTGCCTTTATAACCCCATTTTAAAAATAATTTTGTGGCTTTCAACTCAGCTCCGCATCTGATAAAGTAGAAAATTGGGAATAGATATATATAAATATATATATATATATATATATATAAACACACACACACACACACAAAATGAGTCACCGCTTGCTCTGCATTTGATGAAGTAGAAAAAGGGGCAAAACAACCTCATCAGATATAGAGCTAAGTTAGAAGTCGCAATAATTTTAACGGTGCTTTTTTTCTCAATGATGACTTGTAATATACTATAGATGATAAGCATAAAATTATTAAACATGAAAAAGTTCAGGAATTCAGCCAGCCAGTTAGAAGTTAGAAGATTGAGTTATAAATGAGTTAAAATTTTAATAGATTAAAAAATAGATTAAAGTGTATCTAACAGCTCGAAATATTTGATGATGTGTTCATCACCCCAAAATATTTATCTAAATGCGTTTAACATCTTGAAGTATTTTTTTGTTTTAATACTGAATGTATCAAAAAATATTTTTAGACACCTAAAAAATACTTTAAAGGGCTGGATGCATCAAAAAATATTTTTCAATGCTGGACGTACTTAAAAAAATTCTTTAAGATACTATATGCATCGAAAAATACTTTACAATATTGGATGCACCTAAAAAAATATTTTAAAATACTGAATGCACCACAAAATATTTTAAGATATTAAATGTACTTGAAAAAATATTTAGAGATGCTTGACGCATTTTAACTCTTAAAAAATTGATTTTCTGAAGAAAAAAGAAAGCACTAATCAATGCTCTGCTTTATACTTTCCCGCATGCAGCTCCCTGTTTGTTAACAACCTGCTGGTTTTTTGATAAAGTGAATTGCTTGTGCTTTTTTTTAATCAATATACTGTAGACAGTAAATAAAAAACACTGAAATGCTACACCATCGAAAGTAATTACTAAAAGGCTTTCACTAAGAATCGTTAAGAATCGCTCACTATTTCAATGAGTTCAGATTTGTACGAAAATTGCATACCTAGACAATGACTTTTTTTTTCCCCAGTAGAAAACTGAATACCATTAGCTCAAAAGAGAAAGAAAGAAAAAACTACAAGGCTACAATAAACAGATATTAGTTTTCTTCATCACTATCAATCTCAACTAAAGGAAAGATAGAGCGTGATTGAAGATACAATAATTCTTTTTTAAGACTATGGGGGATTTTGGCAATACGGTCTGCCATAGAGTTATTAGTTTTAAGAGTATAATTCAAAACAATCTGTCAATCTCTGCGAAATAAATTTCTAGTTATATCTATAAGGTCTCCAACAAAAAATGTGCTGATTCAACCTTTTCAACATGTTAATAATCTCAATATGATCATGGAGCTAAACAATGACTTTTCCCTTATCAAACATGCCCGATATCACACTTATTTTTTTAAAATTTAAAAGTAAAAATTAGTTTGTCCCCTTAGCCAGTTGTGCCATCCACGGGTCTCCCTTCCACATATATTCTTGAAAGAGGTTTGAGACAAGGTGATCCTTACCACCTTATATTTTTATATGTAGTAGAGGCTTTGTCAATTATGATCAATAACAATGTTGAGAGGGAAAACTAAAGGGAATTAAAAATTACCAATTCTCCCCAATGCCATCTCACAGTTTTTTGCAGATGACATTCTCTTTTTCATGAATGCTAAAGAGAGCAACTGTAGAATTCTGGCTGCTTTGTTGAAGTAGTATTGCGAAGCTTCTGGTCAAGAAGCAAATTTGTTGAATTCTGGAGTTGTCTTTCCAGAAATATCTCGGTTGAATTGAGAGACGAGTTTCCTCATCCTTGGGATTAAAGACATTAAAGAGCCTGGTAGATATTTAGGAATTCCTAATATCTGGGGGAAAAACTAAATACAAGCTGTAGCTTGTGTCAAATAGAAGATAGAAGAAAGATTAAAACTGGAGTGGTAAACTGCTTACTCAGGCTGGAAGAGAGGTTATGATCAAATCTGTCATAAGTGCAGTCCCTCTGTATCCAATGTATTGTTTCAAATTCCCTAAGAAAATCTGTAAGGAATTAGATAGTATGGTGGCAAAATTTTGGTGGAATGGAGGAGAGGAGGGTAGGAAGATTCATTGGAAAGCTTGGGGTAAGTTGATTGATGCTAAGAAGGAAGGTGGGATGGGATTCAGGGAGTTTGAAGCAACTAATGAGGCCTTATTAGCCAAAAACTGCATGGAGGATCTTAAAACTGTCCAAATGAGTTATGGGTTAAAGTACCCAATGGTGTTTATTTCCCTAACTCTAGCTTCCTTGAGGCAAAAAAAAGGTGGTAGGGCTTTATGGTTATGGACTAGTATTTTGGATGGAAGAAATATGCTTATGGATGATTTGTATTGGAAAATTGGGAATGGATATGATGTGAGGCAGGAAAGACAAGTGGATAAAGATTTTGAAGTAGCTTAGATCAGATTGTTGAAATTCCTGATGATAAAAAGAATTGGAATGTTGCTGAGTTGATTCAAATGGTAGATGGGCTGTAGAGAAGTTGGAGGGCAATAGTACCAGAAGTTGTTAGGAAGATAGAGCTAATGACTCTCTGTAATTTTGGAAGATCTACTGCAGTGGTGAGGTTAGGTGCAAGGGAGGGGAATTATGCAGTTAAGAAGGGTTACCACTATCTAAGAGAGAAAAGAAAAAAGAAGAGGAAGTCTACAGCAAGTTCTTCCTGCTCAATTCCCAAAGAGGTCTGGAGCAGATTATGGAAGATCAAAGCTTTACCAAAAATTGTTCATTTCCTTTGGAGATGTCTTGTTCAGGCTGTTCTAGTGAGGGAAAGACTTTTCAAAAGAAAATGTGGAGCTTTAGATCTGTGTCCTGTATGCAAGACTGAAATCGAAACTTTACAACATGCTTTGTTTGTGTCCTTGGGCAAAATGTGTATGGTTTGGAAGTAGTTTGACTTTAAGAGTAGATGATTTAGATTTGAATAGATATGATAATTGGTGGGTTAATATGTTAGTTGAAAAGAAATGTTTAGATGATTACCATTTAGCTTATTTCGCTTGGTTAGTTGTTTACTTTGGAAAGAAAGAAAAATAGGATGGTGTTTGATCATATTCAACGTGATCCAAGTAAAGTAATTGACTATGTAGGAAAGGCTATCAATGAGTATTGGAAGACAAAAGGCCGGCAAGCGTCAGATGAGAAGGAAAACAAGAAGAGATACTGTGTTGGGTGGAAATTACCTGAAGAAGGGGTGGTTAAAATAAATTGTGATGGCTCTTTTTGTTCTGGGGAGGCTGCAATTGGTTTAGTTTGTAGGGATGCCTCAGGTAATTTCATGCGGGGCTTCTGGGGTGGCATGAATATTGATTCTGCAGTTGTTGCAGAGATTTTAGCTTTTAAGAAAGCTATTTGTTTGATACAGGAGCTGGAACTTGAGAGACTAGTGATTGAGGTGGATTGCTCGGAAGTGTTTTGGTGTAGCAAGAAAGGATTAGCTAAAAAGACTGATGATGGAGAGGTCAATGGGATCTTCAGGATGCTATTTCTAGTTTGAAAAAGTTGAAAGAAGTAGAAGTTTCTCTTGTTTCAAGAGAAGGAAATAGAGCAGCAGATTTAATTGCCGTGGCCTGCAACAAGGGGGTGTGTCCTACTGGATGGGTGGAAACACCTTTATCACCTTCTTTAGTTCAGATTCTGGATAATGATGCTGAATCTGGAAGGAATTTGGCAAGGAGTTCCCTGAACACGCTTGAACACCTTTATATTGATGTTGTAAAAATTTTCAAAAAAATTGTTTCCAGCTGTCGGAGCTCCAGCGACCAATTGTTGAATTTCCCGAAAAACCTGTTAATTGCTATATTAAAGTTGTTAATAGTATCACAAAAGTTGTTAACTGTTATACTGAAGTTGTAAAAATTTTCAAAAAAATTATTTCCAACCGCTGGAGCTTGTTGAATTTTCCAAAAAACCTGTTGTTAACTACTATACTAGAGTTGTTAACAGCGTTACCAAAGTTATTAGCTGTTATATTAAAGTTATAAAAATTTTTAAAAAAATTGTTTCTGGCCGCCAAAGCTTGTTGAATTTTCTAGAAAACCTGTTGTCAACTGCTATACTGAAGTTGTTAATAGCATTACAAAAGTTATTAACCGTTATACTAAAATTGTAAAAATTTCAAAAAAATTGTTTCTGGCATCCGAAGTTTGTTGAATTCCCAGAAAACTTGTTGTTAACTGCTATACTAAAGTTGTTGATAGCGTTACAAAAGTTGTTAACCATTATACTAAAATTGTAAAAATTTTCAAAAAAAGTTGTTTTCAACCGCTAGAGCTTGTTGAATTTTCTAAAAAACCTACTGTTAATTGCTATACTGAAGTTGTTAATAGCATTACAAAAATTGTTAACAGTTATACTGAAGTTTAAAATTTTCAAAAAATTGTTTCCGACTTTCGGAACTCCAGTGACCAATTGTCGACCAGTCACCGAAGCTCCAGTGGCTGCCGCCGCCAAAGCTCCGACGACCGACTAGTCAGCCAATGGGAGCTTTGGTATTTTAAAAACAATAAATAAAATGAAAGGCAATTTAGTCTTTTCTTTTAACATGATAATCCCAATTTCGTCTCTTAAGACCAAATTGGAATTTCTTAAATTCAGCAGACCATTTGGACATTATGAAATTCAAGTGTCATTTCTCTGTCTTTTTCCCTACAATCAAGAGGATTAGTTTGGATAAATGAGAGAGGCAAAATAGATTGAGATCTTATATTTGGGAGCAAATTCATCAACACTTTATAACTCTTATATCAAGAACCGGAAGTAGTATGTGCCAAATAGGTATCAAGAAATGGGTTTGAGTTTCAAGAGCTCTTGACACTCGGATACTAATTCTTGTTCCCTGGGGTTAGAGGTATGCATGCATTTACATAAAAAGTTATTTTCAATTTACTAAAAAATACGAGATTTTCTTTTGGAAAAATCCATTACAAGTCGCTTGAAATAGGCAGAATCCAAATTAAGTTGATAAATTACTAAAATCCTATTATTTGGAATAATTTGAGAATTAAAAATACTAAATTAAATTTATTTAATGGATAAAAATCTATATAAATTACAAATCATATGAGTGTCAAATATTTTAACTAAACGATATTGTTTAAATGTACAAAAATACCTATAGACTTTTATTCTAAGTGCACTCACCACTATAAGCTTTTTTGAGTTTCAAAAATACCTATAAACTTGCAAAACTAGAGCAAAAGTGAAGCAACCATTAAATTTGACTAATGATCGTTATATTTTATAGCACAGCCTACACTAACATTATGAAAGTACCAAAGTATCCCTAACTCAAAGTATCATAAAAAGGATAAGAGTGCAAAAATACCCATAAAGTTTTAGTCAAAATGCGTCACATATCATATGTTTTTTGACAGGTGCAAATAACTGTACAAATAAATTAATTCTTTTAGTTTTATATTAAACCTCTACTAAGTTTATCATACTATTATAATATTAGTAATTTTATGGTTAATGTATTCATTTGGTTTTCTAAATTACAATCAAGTTTTAATTTAGTTTCTTGAATATATAAAGTATATTTCCAATCACTAAATGTTAATATAGTTGGTCTCATTAACAAAAAAATATTAACTTGATGAATTTAAATGCTGACAAAGCATGCTTAAGGTTAAATCATTTGACATAATTTTTTTATATCTTAAATATCCATTAGGTTTTATTTTAAATATTTTTCAATTTACAAAATTTTGATTTTTTTTGGCCTAAAAGAAATTAAAAATTTGTAAATTGGAAAATATTTACAATTTTTCAATTAAATATTAATATTTTAATATTTAATTGCAGAGCTACCATTTAAATTTGCTAAATCAATATTTTTTTGTTAATGAGACTGATGGTTAAGAAACTAAAAACACATTTGATACAAAAAAAACACACTTTAGACATTTAAGGGACTAAATTAAAATTTGATTTAAATTTTGAAAACTATATTAATTATAAAATTATTAGTATTGTAATATTATAATAAAATTTAGTAAAGTTTTTCTTTGGCTAAAACTAAAAGAACTTATTTATTTGCATGGTCATGGATACTTTTACACTTGCTAAAAAAAAGCATGGTATTTGACCACTTTGGGTAAAAGTTTATGGGTATTATTGCACCCTTACCTCTTTTTTGACTCAGTGGTATTTTGGTACTTTCAAAACATTAGCGTGAGGTCCGGTTAAGTAAATTAATCGGCTCCATTTTTTTGCTCTGATTTTGCAAGTTATAGATACTTCTGCATATCAAAAAAGCTTATTATGATAGGTGTATGTTGGGTAAAAATTTATGAGTATTTATATCCATTTACCCAATAATATTAGACAACTAATTGGTGTTTTGTATAATTTAGTCTCTAGTATGTCATGGACACAATTTATTTGTGTTAATCATAATGTAGAAATTTGATAAGGATGGCTCGTCACTGACTTAACAAAAGTTTTCTGAAAGCATTTGGATCACCTAATTCTCAAAAGTTGAGGAAGATTAGGTATCCATCCATGTGTTGAACGTAAATGGTAGGTCATATCTAACTCTGGACAAATTCAAGACATGCATTTATAATGCTAGACGAAAATTAAAATATCTAAAAGAAATAAAATAATTTGTCATATTTATCCTTATTTAAACTTAAAAAAATAAGTCAATAAAACTAATCAATGTTCTGCTTATTTAAAATAACGACCAGGCATATTTCATGCAGCTCCCTGTTTTGTTAACGCTGCTGGTTTTGATAAAGAGAATGATATCCACCCAGCCTTTCCCTTATAATAAGGCATTTAAATCTATCTTAATGGCATCATGACAATGACTATTAAGCTGGCATATAAAATTAATAATTTTTAAAAGTTGAATACAAATTTTTTGTTTCCACATAAATTTTGGTCTCTTAAAGAGTAAAATGGTTCATGTTTATTAAATTATAAAAAATAATATTTTAGATGAAAAAAAATTCAAGGAGTAGAATCAAAATAAGAACAACTTAAGAAACAAAAATTATATTAAGCCCCCTTTTTAAATTTACTTTCATTGTCTCTTCTTCTCCTAAAACCGTGGATTTAATCATTTTTCAATCTTACAAAGTGATTTTTGTGGGGGGGGAAAAATGCAATAATCGTTCTCAAAAATTAAAAAATTGACTTATATTTTGGAACAAAAAAATTTCTTAGAGTATAACTTATAATTAACAATGAAAGAAAGGAGTAAAATTTCTTATAAAGAAATTATAAGCCGTGAATATCTGTTTTGATTTGATTGGACATGTAAAAAAAATTATTCCTTCAGGATAAGATATAAACTTGTAAAATGGTTTTTTTCCCCTTAAAAATTTTCTTTTTTTTAAAAAAGAAAAAATTTAATTTTTTAGCCTTTACAATTTTGACTCATTTAAACTCAA